AAGCAAAGCAAAGCAAAGCAAAGCAAAGCAAAGCAAAGCAAAGCAAAAGCTTTCAAAGAACCCCTGATACCATGTGCATTTTTTAGACATATTGGGGTGGCAGTCAGCTTGAAGGCCTCAGACAGCCCCACTCCCGTGACTTGCTAGATGGGCTCAGTTATGTAGACCCTCATGCTGTAGTTTGCCCAGGCTGTCTCACGCTGGGAGCTCTGCAGCTCTGGGGTCTCTGTGGCATCTTTGCATTCTAGAGGGCTGGTGGTTCCACTCAGCATCGCCGAACGCTGTCTGTATTGTCTCTGCTCTCATGGCTCTCCATGACATCATTTGAAATGAGGTGAAATGAACCAGGCCCCCTTCTAGGATCAGCGCCTGTGGATACCACAAAGCCTGTGTGGGCTCTGGTAGGTGGTCCAAGATGCACCTTGGATGGCTAGAGCAGGACTATAGGGTAGGCGGGGTTCTGTGCTGGAATGTAGGGAGCAGAGACCTGAAGTGACTCCAGCCTAGAAAGCTGATTTCTCTCCACACTCTGGGGCTGCCTTGAAGATCTCTGAAATGCCTTCATTTTCCCATTCTCTTGATGAATAGCACCTTATTTCTGTCCACACTGGTCCCTTTATCAAAGGATCAAGCCTGCTTGTTCATTCTTTGCCTAAGAGAGGCTGTGAAGCCTTCAAATCCGTAAGCTGTTTCTAATTTCTAATTTGCTTTTAAATTAGAAATTATATCATGAAATTATTTTTCTTTTCATTTTAATCCTATGACTAAAGATATTTCTGCAACTTTGCCAATAGTTTTCTTAGAGTTTCTTTCACTAACTTTTACAAAAAAATATATTTTTTTAAATGTGCATGTATGTACATGTGTTTGTGAGTGCCTGTGGAATCCAGAAGTGGGCATCCGGTCCCCAATTACAGGCATTCATGAACTGAACTGGACTTCCAGGCAGTTATGAACTGTTGAAGTGGATGCTGGGAGCTGAGTTAGGGTGGTACTTTAGAAAAGCAGAGAGCATCTCCATTGCTGAGCCATCTCTCAAGCTCCTACCAGTTCATCTTGTTCATTGGCTTTTTCTGCTTCCAAAAGTGCTCAGACTTGGGCAGGCTGCAGCTCTGGTATGAATGAGGATGGCCGTTGCTCCAGTTTCCAGCAAGAGCATCTGCATTTCCGCACCTCACTAGGCCTCAGCAGACTGGCCTTTGTGGTTCATATTTCTAGCAACACACACACACACACACACACACACACACACACACACACACACACACACACACACGTGTGTGTGTGTGTGTGTGTGTTTAATATATATGTATATAATATATATACATATATATTAAATAACTTTTAAAAAAGATTTATTTATTTATTTCACGTATACGAGCGCTCCATCTGCTTGTACACCTTCAGGCCAGAAGAGGACATCAGATTCTAGTATAGATGGTTGTGAGCCACTGTGTGGTTGCTGGGAACTGAACGCAGGACCTCTGGAAGAACAGACAGTGCTCTTAACCGCTGAGCCATCTCTTCAGCCCTCTTTAGCAAACTCTTGGTTAGGACACCTTCAGGCATCTCTGAGAAGTTCCATCCTGGGGAGATGGTCCAGCAGGTACAGTGCTTACCACTCAAGTGCAGGGACCTGATTTCAGATCCCCAACACCCACATGAAAAAGCCAGGAGGCGGCATGTGTCTGTGACCCCAGTGCTGAGGTGGCTGGGGTTGGTGGAGTGGGGAGACAGACAGTGGGTACTCAGAGCTCGCTGGTCATCTGATATAGTTGGCTGGTGAACTCTGTGCCCAGGGAGAAGTTCCTTCTCAAACCAAAATAAAACATGCGAAACAAAACGAAACGAAATCGTTCCTTCTCTCTGATACCTTAACAGAATCTTCCCAACCCTCCATTTATGCCAACACAGGCCCCTCCCCAGCTTCCCCATCAAAAATTTCCAGCTTCTAACTCATTACCTGGTTCCAAAGCTGCTTTCACAGTTTTGGCGTTTGTTATTGTAACACCTGCTTTTCTGGTCCCAATTTCCTGACTTGCTTTGTTGTATAATGGGGTAGCCGGGACTGGGGATTTATGAAAACAGAGCTTCGTCTCTCCTAGTTTGGAGGCTGGGGTGCCCAGGGTTGAGGCATTGGTGTTTGATGAGAGCTGTCTGGTTGCATTGTCTCATGGTGGAAGGTGCAGGAAGAGGGTGAACAAGGGGGATGGACAATTTCCTTGGTACAAATCTGGGCTTCAAACATGGGCAGCAGTTGGACTTTGAAGCCTTGACTCTATGGCAGATACTGTTTGTATGGCTCAGATGTCCTGCCTAGGAGCTTCCTTTACTTCCTTTTCTTTCCTTCCCCCTTTTCCTTTCTCCTTTCCCTTTCTCTCCTCCTTCCTTCTCCTTTCTTCCTCCTATTTCCTCCCCCCCCTTCTTTCCTTCTTTTCTCTTTCCTGAACTTTGTTTATTTTATTTTGGCACTTATACAGAGCCTTACCGTGTAACACTGGCTGGTTTGGATCTTGGTTTGTAGACTAAGTTGGCCCAGAAATCACAGGGACCTACTTGCCTCTGTCTCCCGAGTGCTGGGATTAAAGGTGTGCACCATCGCGTCAGGAGTAGAATTTTATTCTTTTATTGAAAGATTACCAAGCTTCTCAAATTCTGCTTTAAAAAATATTTTAGTTATGTGTTTGTATGTTTGTGTGCGTGTATGCCTCCTGTGTGCAAATGCCCGTGGAGGCCAGAAGGCACCAGCTTCCCTGCAGCTGGAGTTGAAGGCAGATGTGAGCTACCCGACATGATGTGCTGGGAACTGAACTGCAGTACCCCGAAAGAGCCAAGGATATCTCACTGTAATTAACCCATTAATTACAGTGATACCAAAGTGCTGACGATTGAGTTACTATATTAAGCCACTTTAAGTAGCCCTAACCTAAAGACTCCTATTGTAGCCACTAAAGTGCCTTTGGTAAGTTCATGGTGAATAGCGTTCTAAACATGTAATGCACAGCATCCTTGTATTGGTAATTAGTGTCTAGGATAATGAAGCTATATTTGTCATATTCCTTTTTCCCCCTCTTGGATGTACAATCTTGCTATCTAGCCCAGCCTGGCTTTGTATTCCAATGTGTAGCCTAGGATAGCCTTGAACTCTCAGCAATGCTCCTGCCTCAGCCTCCTGAGTGCTCTGCTTAGACATGTGTACTACCATGCACGCTACAAAGCTTTGGTCTCTTATCCTTACTCTGCAGCACAGAAACACTGCTGTAAGCAAATACCGTGACAGATCCCTTCATAAGCTAAGAAGAGCTTGAGATTGTAAGGGGTCAGGATGATCTGTAAGGGCTCGGGCTGGAGGAGTGTCTGGAAGCATTCCTTATTGGTTGGCTGAGAGAATCCCCTGGGCAGATGTCCAGTTAAGAGGATAGAAGACACACCAAAAAAAGAGGCCATTACTATAGAGTCCTGACCTCTTTTAGTGTTGCATATTTTAGGGTATGGATCTGGCAGATATTTTACTGAACCCATATAACTTTCACTGGGTGAAGAACTATGTGTATATACTTTAAATTTTTTTATTTTTATTTTTTTGAGACAGAGTCTTAGCTCAGGCTGGCCTGGAACTTGCAATCCTCCTGTTCTGCCCCTTAAGTGCTAGGATTGCAGGTATGTGTTACCGTGCGTGGTGGAAGGGCAGAAAGAAGAGGAGGAAGAGCAAGGCTCTATCTCAATGTATGCACATCTTTGTTAGGCCAGTTTCCTTTGTTAAAATAGAACGTGGCAGACGTTCTGTGGCTTATAGCCTTGAGGATTTGGTTACCCCATAGGCTGAGGCTATGCAACCTTCTGCTTCTCCTGAAGCAATGTCATTTCAGGAGGGACTTCACTGTGAGGGTGTGGGGTATAGAGAGATTGGCTTTGCCTTTCCTTCTTCCCTTGCTCTTCCTGGGATGGTCCTTTGTTGTAGAGGTGGGGTCTCAGAGGTATGAGACAGGGTCTCACTGTGTAGCTCTGGCTGGTCCTGGACTTGTATGTAGCCCAGACTGGCCTGGAACCCACAGAGATCCACCTGACTGTCTCCCGTGTGCTGGGATTAAAGGCGTGCGCCATCATGCTTGGGCAGACTCTAGGTTTTTAAGGGAGGGGTGCTGGGGTGACAGGCTGCCTCTCTTCTCATCTAGGTGCTTTAGCGAGGAGTCCTGTGTCTCCATCCCCGAAGTGGAGGGCTATGTGGTGGTTCTCCAGCCTGAAGCCCCCCAGATCCTCCTTAGCGGCACAGCTCATTTTGCCCGCCCAGCTGTGGACTTTGAGGGACCAGAGGGGGTCCCTCTGTTCCCTGATCTTCAGATCACCTGCTCCATTTCTCACCAGGTGGAGGCCAAAGCAGACGAGAGTTGGCAGGGCACAGGTAAGGGTAACCCTGAGGAGTGACGCGATCCGGAGTGGGGTGATGCCTGTAACTAGAATGAGGGAAGGACTATGGGGCTGAAAATGGAGGAGCTTTTTCTTGTGTCCTTGTGGCTGAGAACAACTTACCCTTAAAACCCAGAGCCTGTGGGAAGCCCACGGGTATGAGGAAATGTCGCATGTTGATGTCTGAGGTGATGTTGACCTTCCTTAAGGCATGGCCCTGCATGGGGGGAGGGGTGGTGCTGAGCACAATGTGGTGACAACGGGTGGGTCTCAGAACCTGAATGGGCACTGCTCTCGCCTTGACCCCGACTCTCTCCCACAGTGACAGACACACGCATGTCAGATGAGATCGTACACAACCTGGACGGCTGTGAAATTTCTCTGGTGGGGGATGACCTTGACCCCGAGCGAGAAAGCCTGCTCTTGGACACGGCATCCGTGCAGCAGCGAGGCCTGGAGCTCACCAACACATCTGCCTATCTCACCATTGCTGGTCAGTGAGGTCAAGGGTCTGTCTTTGTTGTTGTGGTGTGTGACCTCATGAGTAAGCACGAGGCTCCTCCTTTCTCGGGATGTTGCTCAAATGCCATTTTGTTCCTCCTTAGCTGGAAGATGATTTGGCTTCCGGATTGAGGGAAGGGTGCCTGGGCAGAGGCTCTGATCATTTCTCTCTTTCCTTTGCTCTTCGTGGCCTGGCTCACCTCCTCTCACAGTTCTACTTCCGCATCCCTTCAGGGCTCTGCCGTTTCTTTCCTGCTTCTGTCTCCCCCAACCAGCTTTTGAGTCTTCTAGCTCCATGGTGTGCTTACCCTCTCTCCCTGCATCACCACAGGCTTTAAGTGCTCATCCTAGTGAATGGTGGGAAGTGGTGGTTTGGTAGTTTCCAGAGGAAGCTGCCCCCAGGAGGGAGGATGGGAGATGATGCCAATGACCAGCCCCTTCCCAATCCTCACCAAAGCCACGTCCCTTCTGTCTACTACCTTCTCTTGAAGGATGTCTCTTTACCTTTCTTTTCCATAACTGTCTAGATCCTTTCATCTCTGGGGAGTCCCAGAAGCCACAAGGCTAGGGGGGAAGGACAGAGAAGCAGATGTAGCTTTGCTCGCTCTGCTCCTGTAGACCAGAGTGTGTGGGAGTGCTTCTTCTCTGAGGTGTCAGCTAATACCTCTGTTGAGGGACTAACCATCATCCCACTGCGTTGTCTCCTTTTTCCCCAGGGGTGGAGACCATCACTGTGTATGAAGAGATCCTGAGGCAGGCTCGTTACCAGCTTCGTCACGGAGCCGCCCTGTATGCCCGGAAATTCCGGCTCTCCTGCTCTGAGATGAATGGCCGCTACTCCAGCAACGAATTCATTGTGGAGGTACCAGGACATCCCTTTCCTTTCTCGGTCACCTGCTCCTGGCGAGGAGCCAGGAGGTATCAGACTCAGAGAGGTGGTTGATGGACAGGGACTTCCTTGCTTTGAAGGTTCCCAGATCCATGACAGATGGAGCAGGAGGAGGATGTGGGTGACAGTTAAGATGGCCCGCTGCTAAGCCTAGCGCCTCAGTCTGAGTTTGATCCTCAGAAACTGCATGGCAGACAGAGAGCAGTGCCTTCTCCAGGTGGCCTTCTGAGCCCCTCCCCCAACACATTGTGTGTTATGAGTCTAACACTAAATGAGAAATGGGGTGCACTGAGTGAGTCTGGAGTGGCGTGGGGGGCCTTGGGGAGAAGCACTTGTGCCTATAGAGCCCTCTCTTTCCCTAGGTCAACGTCCTGCACAGCATGAATCGGGTGGCCCACCCCAGCCACGTGCTCAGCTCCCAGCAGTTCTTGCACCGGGGTCACCAGCCTCCTCCCGAGATGGCTGGACACAGCCTGGCCAGCTCCCACCGGAACTCCAGTACGTAAGCCGAGTGGGAGCGTGGCATCACACGCACCCCTGTACGCTTGGGAGGAAAGGAGGGTGAGGCAGTGGGTTCTGCTCTCTGCGGGACAACCTCTTTATCCTTCTGGACGGTTAACTCCACGGTGAAGGCGAAGCCTTCGTCAAGGCAGGGGTTCAAGCCTGGAACCACAGGCAGTGTGGGGTGTGGGCATCTTGGTTATTCTTGCTGCTCCCCTGTGCGCCCTCCCCCCCCCCCCAAAAAAAAAAAAGTTAGCTGGGATCTAGAGTGCTTCTGTAATGAAGCAGTTATTTATTTAATGCCTACAGCATACCAGCACTGCTTGAAGATGCTGTTGGGGATAGAAAGGCTTTTAGGAGTTATGTACACTGGTGTGTAGCTATGATGCCAGCACTCAAGAGGCTGAGACAGGCAGAAGGGAAGCCAGACTGGGCTACATGGTGAGATCAGATGCCGAACGTTGCCTGTGGATGGTGTACGTACTCTTGCTCCCTGGTTAACGGTCCTTTACTAGTGGCTCGTTTGTTCTCTAATATTAAAAGTTGCTTAATTACAAAGGAGAAGAATAAAAAGGAGAAAATATGAATATAAAGAAGAATTAATCTTGCTTCTGTCAGACTGAGGCTACCCTCCTGATGGGCCGTGTTATGTTTCCACTGTGTTCCGTCCATCTATCTATCTATCTATCTATCTATCTATCTATCTATCTATCTATCTATCTATCTACTGTCTATCTAATTTTATAAAGCTGACATCAGACTATTTTGTAATATTATATTTACACTTCAGATTAAAGTAAGTCTTTTCTTGAATTATTAAAATCCGAGCAATGGTGATACATTGCTGAAAGTGACTTTTGTGAACCCTTTTAGAATCGTTTCCAGAGACCATTCACACACCTTGCCTTTGGCCCAGTGAAGTTACCCAACTTCGAGATCCGTTTTTGTCAGAGCTGGCTCTGGAGATCATTTAAATGTTTTAAGCATTAAGCCCACTCCCAAAGGCCACAGACTGTCACTTTTGAAAAGCAGGAAAAGGTCACAGGATCATTAGGCAATGGCTCGAGGAGTTCATGGTCACTGAGTCACCTCATGGGTCTTTTGTTGGCCTGGATGCTGGGCTCTGCACCCACGAGCAGGCTCCAGCTAGATCTGGGTGCCATGGCCCCGATCTCAGTCCTTTCTCACTTTGGTTTGAGGTCCCAGGAGGAGTGTCCCTGTTCTAACTGCTCAGGGCTTCCTCCTTGAGTGCCCAGCTGCCTGGTCCTGGCTGGCAGGCAGTGCGTGTCATTTCTCATCCTCCTGCTCGGCCAGGGGCTGCTCTGGTACTTGTGGGCCATGTCCTTGATTCTCCTCCCCAGGGTAAACCCTCTTGCGGCTTATATCCAGGTCAGCCACACTTCCTGCTGAGATTTCAGTGATGAGCAGCCACCTGCCTTCGCCTCGCTCTTTATTTCGGCCCTTGTAGGTACAGAGTTCACCATTTCTCTGAGGCCTTTTGTGAGTGATATGGCTTGAGCTCATCAGGTGACACAGTTCATCCACAGCTATCAAACCTGTTCCATACATTGCCCCTGGCTCCAGGGTGTTCCCTCCTTTTTACCTCCCAAGGGCAGGCCCTGCTCTGCATAATTAGGGTTTCAGGAAGCTCAACTACACTAAAACTGCAGAAGTAAGCTCTGCCATCTCCTCCAATGGTAGAGGCTGATTTCTGTTCAATTTCTTATGTGCCCGGCAAGAATGGTGAATAAGAATGGTCAAGGAAGAGTTTTTGTCATATGTGGTGTTCGAACCTGGGAGCTGGAGAGCAGGAGGTCTGAGGCAGAAGCATGACAGATGGTGTGGATGTGAGAGGGTAGTTAAGGAGTGAGACAAGATGATGGAGACATTATGCTATTGTCATTTCAAACTTTGACTCATTTCTGTCACATGGGGGACTTTTAAATCTCTTGGTGGGTTGACACCCCAAATTGATGAGAAATAGGTATCAGTGTTTTAAAAAATTTTTATTAATTGATTGATGTATGTTTGTGTGTGTGTGAAGTTTATATGTGGGCACATGTGTCAGAGGTCAGAGTACAGCTTTGTGGAGCCAGCATGTCTTCACATGCTTTCCAGGGATTGAACTCAGGCCATTAGGCTTGCAAGACAAGGGCCTTTAACCATTGAGCCACCTGTCAGCTCTCACGGTATTTATCTTTAAAGATCCTCATACAACTCTATTGCATAGCAAAGTTTGGAAATGATTTCTCTACTTTGATTTTCACAAGTACCCAAAGCACCATGGAAAGATATGTAGAGAAACAGTATTTTTAAAAAATGGGAGAAGTGTTAAAGTTGTCTGGGAAACAAAGGGGCTGACTTGAGAGACAGGGAGACTGGGAAGGGTACCGGTGTGACCATACTCAAGATACATTATGTGCTGGCATGAAAATAGCCATGTGTAACCTTGGGTGATGAAATAACAAACAAAAAACAAAAGGAAAAAGAGAATTCCTTTTAAAAAGATGACTAATTATCTCACGGTGCGTGACTGAAAAAAAAAAAGAAAAGCAACAGGGAAGAAAGGAAGCCTGGCATAGTATTTCCAGCTACTCGAGAGGCTGAGGCAGGAAGATGACTTGAGGCCAGGAGTTCAAATCCATCCTGGGCAACGTGTCATCTACTAAAATAAAAATAAAACAAAGCGACTGAACCAAAACCAAAATACTTGAAAGAAAAGAATCAGGAAGGAAGGAGGAAGGTGATGGGAGGAGAATCACGTGAAGCAAATGCTGTGAGCTGCTGAGCTGTTGCAATGCTGTGCCAGAGGATTGCCTCTGAGCCGGTGCCCAAACCAAAAGAAGCCCGAACAACTGTGTGGAATCGTAGGGTAGGATCTGGGCGCAGAAGGACATCTCCTCTGAGGCGCTTTCTTCATCAAGGGGGCGTGTTATGTTGGGCTGCGGGCAGCGCTTTCAACAGTGCCCTTATGATCACATGAACCGTTTGCTAAGCCGTCCCTGCATGTCGGCTGCACTCAAGGCCAGAATTTGCTGAGCAGATCTAATAATGCAGCAAGATTTAATGGGCTTTTGAGGTCTCCATGTTTGCCTGTAGCTAATTTAAAAATTCTCCCAACCTTCCTCCTGATTTACCCTAATGAATCTGAGTTATTGGCCTACAGCTGGAGTGTTTGTTTTGTCTTTTTTTTTTTTTTTTAAGTCACTTCTTATTCATGTTAATCAACATGTCATTTCCTTCATCATGCCAGGGCCTCAGGGCCCTGATTTGGGCTCACTATTGTGGTGCTTGCTCCTTAGTGCTAGGTCATCCGTTGTGGCCTGTGCTCTGAAAGTTGGGTTGTCTGGGCTGAGCCACAGGGGCCACGTGCTGGCATGTTGGTACTCCCTGGACTTGCCCATTGACCCAAGAGGGGCTATTTTGGATGGCTGCACAGAAAGAAAGACTCTGACCCTTTCCCCTCTCTCTCCCATGCTCAGGCAGTTGAGAAAGGCTGATCCAACCAGTCTGGTCTCTGTCTTGGAGTCAGGGCCCAGTGAACCCGCTGGCCTCCGCCCCCACAGAGTTAGCTCTATTTGGCAAGCAGTCCAAAATGGGGCATCAGTCAGGTCAGGATGTGAACTAGCTTGACAGGGAGCCATCAGGGCGGCCCCAGGGCGGTGTGAGTGGGTGAGTGGCTGCCGGGACTGTCCCAGCACGCATTCTCCACTTTCCTGCTTGGTCCTGGAGTGGTGACACTGTGTGTGCCTGGCTGCTGGCAAGAGGGGTCCATGGCTGGGTGTATGGGGGGCTTTTATGTCCTCTCCTCTGTGCTCTGCTCTTTTTCTTAGTGTTGGGTTTTAGGATGCAGGTACTTTTGAGGCTGGGCCGCAATGTGACCTTTATATACGGCTTGCTTGTGTGTGACTGCTAATGTGTGTTGGAGACACGTACACACACAAACTGTTTCTCGGCAATAGGACTGCCTGGGGTGTGGAGGGAACTCATGTGGCAGATAGCAATCCAGCTGCCCAAGAGGGCTCTGGGCTTGGGAGTGTATCTGTGGGGTTTCTTCCTTCACCTGCTCTCTCAGGTGCTTGGGGCTCCTCTGCTTTGCTTCTTTGGGCTTCTCCACATGCTCTCTGTGTGTGCCCAGCATGGGGCCCAGGCTGTGTTTACAGCTGCTTATTCTGTGGCCCACAGGGCCCATGTCTGTGGGGCTTATGTCTTCCTTCAGGGGAGTGCTTGGTTTGCTCAGCTGGTAGGGAGTTGCGTGGCCTTGCCCATACGGCTCTTTGGTGCCGTGCTAGAGACTCTGACACGCATCCCATTAATCCTGCTGTGTGAGCAGGCTGCTAGGTGGCTGGTACAGTCAGGTGTGTGGGCAACGAGAGGCCTGGCTCGGGTATGGGGCATGGCGATGTTCGCCCAGCTGTGTGCCCATTCATTCCTCATTGGTTTGGGCCTGTGTATGCACATCTGCTTTTCCACCATCAGCTCCAAGATCCACGTGAGAGTGCATATACCCTTCTGTTTCTCACTGCCTGTGAGAATCCATGTTCCCTTGAACTTGGGCATCAGGATGGGGCTACAGGGCAGGAGGCCCGAGACTCCAGAGGTGGGGGTGGGTACACCTCTGGGGGAGACTGGGAGGGAACAGAAGCCCCCCAGGACCAGAAACCTCAAGCCTGCAAGGAGAAGGGAGGTATCACGGAGCAGGAGCAGGAGTGAGCCCAGACCAGGTGGGTAAGCGCAGGGGCCAGTCCCCGCCACTGGAACCTGTCCCCAGCCTTGGGGACAGCAGCTCCTCTGGTCTGCAGGCTAAGGCTTAGGGCTGTTTCTTTTCCCATCCCAGTCAGTCCCCTCTGTAGCTGCTGCTCTCTTTCCCTCTGGGGAGAAGGTGGTCCTTAGGGAAGGTCCAGGCAGGAAGGCACAGGCAGCTTCTAACTTTTATTTATTTTTTGCCGTTTATCCAAGGACAATACGGTCACTGAAGGCAGCACTAGGCGGAGGTCCTTCTCCACATCACTGGCCTCTCTTACACACCTGTCTACCAGTCCTGTGTGCCCTTGGCTCTTGGGGCAGCCCCTCTCCACTTCCTTCCTGTTTATCTTCCCTGGTGGGGTCTTTTTCTCTTCCAGTTAATTTCTCAGGTTATTCACTTCCTCAAGGCCACCTTGAGGGCGGTCGTTTCCTCTTGGGCTTTTTCCATCGGGCAGTCTCTTCCCTCAGCGCCCGTGCCCGATTTTCCCAGGTGTGCTGGGTTCCACTGACTCCGTGCTCTCCCTGCAGTGGTCCCCAGTGCTGCAACTCTCATCATTGTGGTCTGTGTGGGCTTTCTGGTGCTTATGGTGGTCCTCGGCCTTGTGCGGATCCATTCCCTTCACCGCCGCGTCTCGGGGACTGGTGGAGCCTCGGGAGCTTCCACTGACCCGAAAGACCCTGACCTCTTCTGGGATGACTCTGCTCTCACCATTATTGTGAACCCCATGGAGGTGAGTGGCCTGGAGGAATGCCGAGGGGGGGGCACATTTATAGCAAATATCCTTGAGGAGGACCCACGCCCCAGGTGAAAGCTCTTGGTACAGTGGCTGAGAGCGTGGAGGAGGAAGGATGAGCCTGGAGAGGTAAAGAGCCATGGTGCATGCGTGCCTGCGTGTGTCCTCTAGGAGCGGTTCTGATTGTGGCTAGGCTGTTGAGCTCTCGCTCTCTGCTTTTGTCCTCTCCAGTCCTACCAGAACCAGCAGGCCTGCGTAGCAGGGGCTGCTGGTGGCCAGCCAGAAGATGAGGACAGCAGTGACTCCGAGGCAGCCGACTCCCCCAGCAGTGACGAGAGGCGCATCATTGAGAGCTCCCCACACCGCTACTGAGGCTCCAACCCTGCCAAGAGAGAGGCCTGGCCTGGGGAGACCGACACCCAGCAAAGAAAGGGAGAAAGGCATTCCGAGAGAAGAGACACCAAGGGGGACAAAGAGCTCTGAACAGGAGTGGTCCTGCGATCTTGGAACCCCTGGCAGGCCTCACACGGTTGCCCTCCTCCTCCAGCCTGCCCCTGCCTTGGGCTGCCCTTCCCCTGCCATGAGGACGCCATGAGGCGTCTGCCCCAGATGGCTGCGCTGGGAGAGTGGCCGAATGGCCTTGGCTGCCCTGTAGCCCACCCGTGCTGGCATACCCCCGCCAGCCACGCGCTGTACTGGGGAGGGTACTCAACGGGATTGGTGGGAGCCTGCTGCTGGGCCCTTCCCCACTCTATCCTGTCCGAGGAGGCCTTCCTTCTGTCCAGCCTCCCTGCTTCCCTTAGGATTCCCTCACCTCTGTTTCCACTTCACTCTGAGGATCCCCGATCCTCCCTCTTCTCGGTCTCCTCCCTCTCTTGTCCTCCTTTCCCCGCCTGCCTGAGCAGTCCGAAGGTCCTACAGTCCCCGTTCCTTTCTCCACGGCCTGCTTGTGCCTAGGTTGTGGGGAAGGCGGAGGGGTGGGCGCCCCGGGTGTATTATATATAGTGTATATTTTTTCAATGTTGTCGTGAGCGCAGCTCCTGTGTTTCTGTGTGCAGCTCACAGCCTTGTATGTGTGTGTGTGTGTGGCATTGTCATGTCTTGGGGTGAGGGTAGGGGATGGGTGTGGGAAAGGAGGGACACACCCTAGGGGTTTTCAAATAAAACAACCAGAAAAAAGCTGTAGCCTGCTGTCTGTCTGGACGGTCTGAGCATGCTGAGGTGACAAGGCAGGACTGGCTCTGGCTGTCAGGCCCTGGGGGATGTAAGATGGGGGCAGATGACTCACACTGTCTTCTTCTCTCTGCATCCTGGAAAAGAATGACGTAACTGCATGGGCAGATGCCCGGTGTTGTCTGGGGACACTGTCAGCCCCTCCTCATCACTTTGAAAAGTCTCACCCAGAGCACGTCAACTCCCAGCTGGAAAGTTCGAGGGAGGATGCTGGCGGTCCTGCTCTTTACAACAAAGGGATCAGGAGCTCTTTTTGCTGACCAGTCTATGGCTCGGACCCAAGGGACCTCCGCTTTGCCACATCCCCTGCTGTGGCTGCTGAGCGGCCTTCGCTGTCCCCACACTAAAGTGGTGGCATGGCAGATTCTGGTCTGTCCTCAGCCTTTTGGGCCATTGGTTCTCTGGCTTTGGTCTTCTCTAGGCTCCAGGTGATAAAGAAGAGAACTAAATGGACCTAGTGAAGCAGCAATTGCTGCTGTGTAGACGCTGTCCTTCTGTATTGTCCCTATCCTGGGCCACACCTGGAAACCATACCTGAGATCCTTTCTGAAGAGCAGATGATTCAGAGTGTCAGGCTTTCCCTAGTTCTGTGTGGTCCTTCCTAGCATCACAGGGTGGAGCTGGGGCTTTCCAGTTACCAGGTGACGCTCCATTCACCTGCCTTCCCGCTTCCAGCAGGTGCTCCGGACCTAGCTCACGGTTCCAGCTGTATGTTGATGGCTCCACTTGTACGTCTCTCACTCAGCTCGTTCTCCTTTCTGACACTCCCGCCTATCTATTGGTATGAACGTCCGGGCATCCTATGCCTCAGACTTAGCCTTTGCCCAAAGTCTGCAGTCACGGTTACCTCTCCCTGTGTTTCCCACGCAATGTCCTAATCCAGAAAGCTGGCAGCTCCTTTTCCTCACCCATACCCATGTCCAAAGGGTGACTAAACCTTGTCGTTGCTTCTTTGGGTTTCTCAGACATGCCGTGCTGCTGCTGTTGTCATCCTGATTTGCACGCCTCACCTTTAACCTGGTCTGCCCTGAGAGCCTCCTACCTGCCCCCAACTCCTCTGTCTTGGTCCACTCCAGTCCATCTTCAACTCTGGGTCTCAGCAGCCTTTCTAGTGCACCATTCCACCCATGTCACTCTCTTGTTTGGAATCTTCCTTCCTGTCACTGGTTTGGTCAATCCCAGATACCCTCGCAGCCTCTTAGCTCCTCTCTCTGTGTGGCTTCTTTGCCATCACTGTCCTTGAACACCTGAAAGCAGGGCACAAAACCCACTGGTATTTTCTAGAGATACCCTTATTTTTCTTGCCCCTGTGTCCTTGCATGGGTGTTTTTTTTCTTCCTGTCACGTTTAACAGTCGTACTCATTGTGGTAAACTCCATTCAGATGTTGTAGTCTTCCGAGTTCAGATGCCCCATGGTCACATCTCCATGGCAACATGTCCCATGAGGCTAGCACGTGTATATCTATCAAACAGCTTCTCTGTATCCTCTGCAACTTGTGTAGGGCCAGGCACACACCAGGGGCTCAGAAAATGATGCGTGAAGTGGTGGGTAATCCTCGGACTCACAGAAGACTTTCTGGCGAGAGACCGGAGAGCTGCTTTGGTGACCTGGGAGTCCAGGGGGCGGAAGGTGGTCCAGAAGATGCCCTGTAGTGTGTTCCTATAACCGTCTGCTTGGATGTCAGCTGTTGTCAATATCTGTGACAACACCACATGGAAACAGCCTCCCAGCTGCTCCTGCAAGACCTTCAGGATCCCAGGTCAGAGGCTCGAGACAATGGAAAGCTGTAACTCCCAAAAGAGTAAGAAAGTTTGAAGTCTGCGGCTCTGTCTTCCAGTCCATCCAACCTTTCTCTCCTCTCTCTTGTCAACCTCTGGGTCCTTACTCACCTTGGATCTCGGAGACTGAGGCTTCCTATGCAGAAGAGCAGAAGCCAGGGCCTGCCATTATTCTTACTTGCTTTGGAGCCCTTTATTCTGTGAGTGAAGCTAGGGCCTTGGAGTCTTCATCCACCTTCAGTTCATCCTTTGTAACCTCTGTACCATCACATGCCTTGAATTTCTGCCTCTGATCTCTTGATTGCCCTCTTACCTGGCCTCTCTTAGTTTCTCTGTTTCTGTTTCTATGTCTCTCTATTTTGCCCTAGCATGCCTGCATGTGTTATGCGTGTGTGTGTGTGAGCACATAGAAAGACAATACAGAATTAGGTAGGGTGTCAGCTTCAATGATCTAGGGAAAGGGCAGCAGACAAGAGCCCAAGTGAGTTTTCATTTTCTTGCTCAAGATCTCCTGGAGCATTCCCCAACTCCCCTGATGGAATCTGGCAAAGCCCCAGGATCTCAGGTTTGGCTGTGTTTCAAGCTCCACCTATCCCCAATTTAATTAGAAATAGCAAACACATTTCCCTCGGCTCCACTCAGTTTTTCCTTCTGCAGTGGGAGGCTCTTTCCCTCTGAAGTCCAGTCTTGGCTGTGAAAACCAATCAGCTTAATCCGAGATGAAGATCTGAGCTCTTGAGAAGCCACGCTGCAGAGGCAGATGTGTCAACGACAGTTCAAGAACAAACTGCATCTTTCTTCGTGTTACCAGACCAGGGCCCTGGAAACCTGCCTTTGCGTCATCAGGAAGGGTGGATGGAAGCTCAGTGGAGCTGTGTGTATATCCAGCTTTCGGCTTTCGAGCTGACCAGTAACACTTAGAATTATCCACTCACCAGTCAGCCCTCACCTCAGGGGGCTTTGTTGGGAAGGGTCAAGAACATGTCCACTCCTGTTCTTGAGGAGCTGTGGAAGGGCTTAGATTCAGATTTCAGCCTTTCAGGGACTCTCCCAAGTGGATACACTAAGACCCCAAGACCAGTCACACTGTGGGGTTCCTCTGGGATGTGTGGGGATCCCTTAGGTCCTTCAAACCTGTGAGTGTTTTCTGGGGATGTCTGTAAGCAGATGGTGTGAGGATGGACTGGGGCCCCGCACAGTTCCGCTTTACACTGTGGCTACCAGTTTCCTGAATCCACTTCACTCAGCGGCATGTAGAGAGACTCCCAGCTCTCTCCCTCCAGCTGCCTCCTGAGAAGGAAGAAGTCTTGGGAGAGGGAGGCAGGCGTGAGGGTGATGGGTAAGCCCCTGGCAGGCAGAAGGGGGTGGGGGGAGCTGTTTTATCTACCTCTACCATGCTGGAGCTACCACCTCTCTTGCGACATCATCCTGAGAGTACTTAAAATATACTCATCCTACAAGAAAAGGACAGAGGCAGCTCTAAATTTAGAGCCGGTGGGTAGAAGGAGGGGGATGGAGACTCGGGGGTATTCTGGAACTGGCTCCTTCAGAGAAAGAATAAGCAGCCTTCTGGCTGTGGCTTCCAGTCCACAAGGATAAGGGAGCCTCTGTTTCAATTTTCAGGCTCTGAGACATGACGCCAGTTCCTCCAGCCCCTTCTCATCAGATGGTATTTTTCTCCTTTTTCTGTGGGTTGCAGTGTGGCTGGCTCTGGAGGAAGAGGCTGGGCACAGATGCACAGCCAATCAGAGGCTACCTCTCATTTGTTGCTAGGTCACCGCAAAGCTTCTCTTTTTCGTAGCACTATGGAGAGGGAAAGTAACTCCAACTTTCAGACAACAGCAGGACTACAGTGGCAGAGTAGCAGGCTCAAGGTGGATGGGCTGTCCATGCCACCTGTCCCTTTGGAGCTGGTTTCTGCATAAACTTCTGGCCCAATGACCCTTGCCTACTAAGCTTCCTTGGCCCCGCCTTGTCTGCTAAAGTAGACCTCTCAAACATTTGCTAAGGCAATGGAGAGTTGACAAAGAGGCTGTTAGCAGGTCAATAGAGTCTGGCGTGGACAAGCAAAATGCCAAGGGCGTACGGAACCTATTGTGTGAGGGAAGTTTGCTGAGCTCTACAGAGTGTAATATCAGCCCACGTACCTAAGACAGGATAGGGCATTGTGCAAAAGATGCCCAGCTGATGTGAGTCCTGAAGTACTGTCAAAGGGGATTATGGGCCCCTGACCCCTTCCTTTTCCTGTTTTGTTTTCTGGCCATGAGGTGGGCAGTTTGCTTTGCCATGTGTTCCCTGTCATTGCCAGCTGGCATGACAACAGTGGCCTAAAAACATTGGTTCTTTCTAGTTGTGTTTTGGAAGCAAAAAAAAAAAAAAAAATCTCTTTATAATTATCTCAGATATTAGATCGATAGAAAGTTCACTCCGTTTGGGCTGTTATAGCAGAGCACTGTGCACTGAGCGGCTTAGACAATAAGCATTATTTGTCACAATTTTGAAGGCTAGGGTGTATACCATCTAGATTCCAGCAGATCCAGTGTCTGGAGAGGGCTCTCTTCCTGGTTTGTAGGTGGCTTGTTCATTTCTCTGTTCTCACGTGGAAGGAAGCTGTGAGACTCCAGGGCAAGAGGTCATATCTCCTCCTGGAGGTTTAGTTCCTTTTCCTATTGCTTCGATGAAACACCCTGACAGAAGCAGCTCAGAGAGAAACTGTTGCTTTGCTCACAGTCCTTCTTGGCGGGTAGATACAGCAGCAGGAGCTCTCGGGAGCTGGATTCCTTGTTCTCACAGTCAAGGGCAAAGAGCAATGCACTATTGCTTAACGTTAGCGCTCAGTTTGCTATTTCCACTTATACATTCTAGAAACCCCTAACTGGGGAACGGTCCTGTCTGGGTCTTTTCACCTCAATTAGTGTAATAAAGACAATTCCCCACAACGCTGTCTAGAGGCCGGTCCTCCAGTAGATTCTGGGTTTTTTCTAAGCTCACAGTTTAACACTGACCGGTCATTCACATTAATCCCATTGATTGAGTCTCAACACTAGGACCTAAATCCCTTCCCCAAGGCTGCAGCCGTTTATATCGCCAGACTGGACTTTCGGTGTGCGGATGGGTAGACACCACGTTTTGTTCATTACGGACACTTTGTTTTTACTTCTTTGTGGTGCTA